AAAGAAAGAAAGAAAGAAAGAAAGAAAGAAAGAAAGAAAGAAAGAAAAAGAAAGGAAGGAAGGAAGGAAGGAAGGAAGGAAGAAAGGAAGAAGATTTTTACAGATACTGAAAGAAGTATCATTAATAAAATTACTATTCTCTCCTAAGCCTCCCACACAGCTGGCCCTCAATAAATAATAACATAATTTCCCCTAGGCAGGTGGATAATGGCTTTAAGTGGCTTTATAACTTTTCTTTGATTTTTTTAAAAGACTTTTTTCTTCCTAAAATATTTTGACATTTCTTATTTCCAAGTACATATGGCTTGCAATCTCATGACAGGAGAAAAAAAAATAAGTTGCTAAATTTTTGTCTCTTCTGAATTGCTCTTAACATGTATTTTGAATTTCAGATCTAAATGCTTCTTGCTATATTAAGAGAAGATATCTGAAACTATGGATTCTGTGGCTTGGGTTTTAGGTTTATAAAATTCACTTTGAGAGCATCTGCACCTATGTGATTTTTCCTGAATATAAACTCAGACAAGAGCTTATTTCTCTCTACTGTTGCCCTCATCCAAACTTAGTAGCATCACATTGAATATGGGAGAAAACAAGAGCTTCCCCCTCCTGGAACTGGTTTTCCCTGGACTCAGTCATTCACTTATAAGGTTTATGTCTGCAAGTATGAAGGACAACTATGGAATTATTTATATTCATCTCAATTCTTTCTAACTTGTGGGCTCGGAGGCTCCAATGGGAGGGAACAAGACCTGTTACTGAGCTTGTCATTTTAATTATTTTGATGGACTGCAAGGCAAATAAGAGTTGACAGTGTGGCATAACAAGAACTTGGAAAATGAGTCAATATCCAAAAAGGTCTCAACATGCTAAAATGATGGCCTGAATCTAGTAAGATGAGATTTAAAGGAAATAAATGTAAAATCCTACACTTGGGTTCAAAATATCAAGTACACAAGTGCTGCAAGGGAAAGAATGACCGGACAATGGTTCATGCAAAAAAAAAAAAAGAAAAGAGAGATCTGAAAGCTTATTGCAATATGGTTCAACAGTGCAACATGATGGCCAAAATTGCTAACTTTAATAAAAGCATTGTACCAAGAGATTATAGTTTTACTGTAATATATTCTGGTCCAATGATACCCTGCAGTATTGTATCCAGTTTTAGATGCCACATTTCAGAAAGGGCAATTATAAGCTAGAACATATCCAGAGGAAAGTGACCAAGATTTTGAGGACATTTAAAATCATACCACATGTTTGGAGGACCTGGGAATATTTAGCCTTGAGAATAAATGAAAAAGCATTTCTTCAGCATTTACTATGTACCAAACACTATGCTGGAGGAGGGGAAGACTTGAGTGGATATAAGCGTAGATACAGTAGCTGCCTATAAGTATTTAAAATGTTGGGCAGATAGGTGGCACAATGGATAGAGAGCCAGGCCTAGAGTCAGGAAGTCTTGAATTCAAATCCAGTCTCAGACACTAGCTGTGACCTTGGGCAAGTCACTTAACCCCATTTGCTTCGGTTTCCTTGTGTATAAAATGAGCTGTAGCAGGAAATGGCAAACTACTCCAGTATCTTTGACAAGAAAACCCAAAATTGGGTCATGAAGAGTAGGACATGACTGAAATGACTGAACAACAACTTTCTCCTTTGTAAAATGAAGGGTCTAGACTAAGTGATTTCAGGTCTTGATCATGTGAAACATACCAGCATGAAACATATGGAAAAGCTTAGACTTAACTTTGCTTAGCCATTGAGGGTAGAATTAGATATCTTAGGTTGACATTGATAAGACACAGATTTTAGCTCTGTCTAGGGAAGAATTTCTAATGAGCTGTCCAAGAATGGAAGAGGTTCCTTTGGGAAGTTTCCTAATCTAGGAGATTTTCAAATTAAAGCTGGACGCTTATCAGGGGCATTGTAGAGCCCTCTCTAGATGATCTAGATGATCTCTGAGGTCTCCTCCAATGGTGTGATACTCTAACCTTAGGAAAGGATGAAATAGCCCAGTAAATACTGTTCTGAGTGGTCTTAAGTGAATCTTTGTCTCACATATGCTTATTCTTTGTAATGCAAACTCCTTGAAGGCAGGAATTATATCTTGTATAGCTCTATGTATGTTTTCTAATAAAATCTTCTGAAGTGGTAAGTACTTACAAATGTTTTAAGTGACTAACAAAGGTACAGGACCATTTCCATAATGTGGATTGCAATAATTAGAAATTTGGACTCAATAGTTAGGTTTATTTTTTAAAAAATAATATTTTATTTTTCCCCCAATTATGTGTAAAAACAATTTTAACATTCATTTTAAAATTCCAAGTTCCAAATTCTTTTCCTCTCTCCCTCCTCCCTCCCCCTCTCATTGAGAAGGCAAGCAATTTGATATAGGTTATACATGTACAGTCATGCAAAACATATTTCCATGTTAGTCATGTTGTGAAAGAAAACACAGAAAAAAAAAGAAAAACAAGAAAAAATAAAGTAAAGAAAAAGTATGCTTCAATCTGCATCTGGCAGGTTTGTTTTTGAATGGCTAAAAATCACTGTCTAAGTATATCAATGGCACCAATTGACACCAGGAAGAATGTTTTAAACTCTTTCAGAAAACACACTGGTTTCAAATGTTTTAAAAGCACCCACCTACGTACATTCAAGAAGCTTTCTCTGATCTTCTCCCCTCCCCATCCCTTCTTTCTCCCTTAGGTATGATCTTCTCCTGGCTCGTAATTTTGCTTATCTCTATTCACAAGTTCCTCCCAGTAATTCATTCAATACTTGATAAGGTATTCCCAACTCATCATATCTATTCATTAAAGGAGTTGCCCCAAGAACTTGTCTTGGGCAACAACAACAAAATCAAACAAAACCAAAAACACTCTGTGGCCTTGTATTTGAAAGCCATAAAACTCTATTTCTTTACAAAGACTGTGCAATTCAGACCACTTCTTCAAATGGACTTTCCCTGCAATTAGTCCAAATTAACTAGTGCTATCATTAGCATGTTTCCTAGTCTCAACGAAGGAACATATTTAGAAGGACACATTTTTGATGCAGTAGGTTCCACCCTCAGAGTGACCTTGGATAGGTATGATTTATTTTCTTCCCCTTACAATTCTTGCTCTGTGATAAACCATTGCTTTGGAGCTAAGAGACAATTGAGTAATAAATTGAGATCTCTGCAGGACCTTACCTCCTTCACTACAAACCCTCCCTCCCCCATTCTTTGTGACAGCTCTATTTTCAGAGGGCTTCCTGCAGATCTCTGAGGCTGGGGGATCCGGGAGAAGGGATGGATGGACTGTGCAATGAATGCTTGGAACCAATTTCCTCTGGGGATCAGGGGCTAATGCTGGGCCCCCTGACATGACACAATGTTTGATGGTGTCGGCAGCCCTGTGATACAAAATCAACTCCATATGAGTCACCATAGCCAAAGTGTAATTTAAACAGAACTAATGTATCCAACACACATTTAAAATGTCAAAACATTTAAAATACCATTCCTCACTAGCTACCAAAGCAGCCGAAATTGCTGCCTCTGGAGACAAACAAAAGGAATGGAGTCACCCAGGGCTGCAGTATTTCTCTTTTCAAGTCTGTTTTGGGGCTAGAGCCTGAAGCCAGTGTCTGTAGTCATGGATGTGGCACCTGCAACCACTGGGGAGGGAGTGATGGGGGCCTAAGCTGGGGTTCCCCCACCAGATGAGCAATCATCTTCTGTCAAGTAGCAAGTCAAAATGAGCAGCTCAGGTTGGCTGGGAAACCACTTCG